TAGTCGTAGCGGTGCGGGTCGAGTGGTAGGACAACAATATTACAACTAGTCGTAGTCGTAGTCGCAATAGCAGGAGTAATAATATGTGATAGTAGTCGTCGTCGTAGTCACAGAAGGGTCGTCGTAGTCCTGGTGGTAGTACTAGTACTCAGAATAGTCGTTGAATAATAATCGTGCACGTAATGATATAAAAAAGATTGGCCGTAGTGGTCGTCGCAGACGTAGCCGTAGCCGTCGTAGTAGTAGTCGTGGAAATAATAATAATAATAGTTATCGTAATCGTACGACAAAGGGTACTAGCAACAGTATTCCTAATAGTCGTAGCAATCGTATTGCTAATCGTAGAAATCGTTGTCGTAGTCGTAGTCGTAGTAGTTGTCGTAGTCGTAGCTGGTCAAAGTAGTCGTAGAGGTGGTAATAGTAGTAGGCCGTAGGCGCAGTAGTAATAGTGAACGTAGTAGTATTTGGTGTAGTAGCAGTTGTAGCAATAGTAAGAATACAAATCAAGCAGCAGAAATAGTAGTAGTCGTAGTCGTAATAGTAGTAGTCGTCGTCGTCGTAGTCGTATTGGTATTAGTAGTGGTGGTAGGAGTAATAATAGTGGTGGCAGTACCAGCAGTAGCAATAGTAGTGGGAATAAAGATACGCATAATCGTAGCCATAATCGTCAGCATAGTAGTAGTAGTAGTAGTAGTAGTTAGTAGTAGTAGTAGTAGTAGTAGTAGTAGTAGTAGTAGTAGTAGTAGAAGTACTAGTAGTAGTAGTAGTCATAGTACTAGTAATAGTAACAGAATTGGCGGTAGTAGTTGAATCGTGGTAGCAGTAGTAGATATGAAACATACACTCATAATAGAGGTAATCAGATTAGTAACCGTGCTAGAAAAGTAAAAGTAATAGGAAGGGTAGCAGTCCCCGCCGTGGTAGTAGTAGTAACAGTAGTAGTAGGAGTAATCGTAGTTGTAATATTGGTAGTCGTAGTGCTCGTAGTGATAGTTGCCGTCGTAGTCGTAGTAGTAATCGTAGTAGTCGTAATAGGCGTAGTAATTGTAGTAGTGATAGTAGTCGTAGTGTTGGTCGTAATCGTACGGATCGTAGGCGCAGTAGTTATCAGAATCGTGTAGAGGTAGTAGCAGGAGTAGTAGCAGGTAGTAGTTGTAGCAGATATAATCGTAGCAGTGGGATTAGTAGTAGTACTAGTACTGGTCGTAGTAGTAGTAATTGTACCAGTAGTACTAGCGGTCGTAGTCGTCGTCGACGTCGTCGTCGTGATAGTCGTAGTAGTAGTAGTAGTAGTAGTAGCAGCAGTAGTAGAAATAATATAAGTAGCAGAAATAGCAGTAGTAGTCGTAGTCGTAGTAGTAGCACCATTACCAGCAATAGTAAGAGTAGTAGTAGTAGTAGTAGTAGTAGTAGTCGTGGTCGTAGTAGTAGATAAACTAGTAGGAGTAGTGGTAGTAGTAGTAGTAGTAGTAATAGTAGTAGTACTATAGTAGTAGTAGTAGCAGCAGTAAAAGTAGTAGTAGTAGCAGTAGTAGTAGTAGTAGTAGTAGTAGTCGTAGGTCGCAGTAATGGTGGGAGGTGGTCGTAGTGGGGGTGGTAGTGGTAGTAGTAGTAGTAGTAGTAGTAGTAGTAGTAGTAGTAGTAGTAGTAGTAGTCGTAGTAGTAGTAGTGGTAGTAGTAGAAGTAGAAGTAGTAGTAATAACAATAATCGTAATAGTAACAACAGTAGTAGTCGGAGTAGTCGTAGCAGTAGAACTTTTAGTAGTTGTGGTAGCAGTAGTAGTCGTAGTAGTAGTAGTAGTAGTAGTAGTACTAGTAGAACTAGTAGTAGCAGTAGTAGTAGTAGTAGTAGCAGCAGTCGTAGTGGTGGTAGTAATAGGAACAGTAACAGGAGCAGTAGTAATAGTACGTAGTAGTAGTAGTAGTAGTAGTAGTAGTAGTAGTAGTAGTAGCAGGAGTAGCAGTAGCAGTAGTAGTAGTAGTTGTTGTAGTTGTAGTAGTATTAGTCGTAGTAGTAGTAGTAGTAGTAGTAGTAGTAGCAGTAGCAGTAGCAGTAGTGGTAGTAGTAGTAGTAGTAGTAGTAATAGTAACAGTAACAGTAATAGTAGTAGTAGTAGTAGTAGTAGTAGTAGTAGTAATAGTAGTAGTAGTAGTCGTAGTAGTAGTAGTAGTAGTCGTAGTAGTCGTAGTAATAGTAGTAGTAGTAGTAGTAGTAGTAGTAGTAGTAGTCGTAATAGTCAGTAGTAGTAGTAGTAGTAGTAGTAGTAGTAGTAGTAGTAGTAGTAGTAGTAGTAGTAGTAGTAGTAGTAGTAGTAGCAGCAGTAGTAGCAGTAGTAGTAGTAGTAGTAATAATAATAGTAGTAGTATAGAAGTAGTAGTAGTAGTAGTCGTAGTAGTAGTAGTAGCAGTAGTAGTAGTAGTAGTAGTAGTAGTAGTAGTAGTAGTAGTAGTAGTAGTAGTAGTAGTAGTAGTAGTAGTAGTAGTAGTAGTAGTAGTAGTAGTCGTAGTAGTAGTAGTAGTAGTAGTAGTAGTAGTAGTAGTAGTAGTAGTAGTAGTAGTAGTAGTTAGTCAGTAGTAGTAGTAGCAGTAGGAGTAGTAGTAGTAGTAGTAGTAGTAGTAGTAGTAGTAGTAGTAGTAGTAGTAGTAGTAGTAGTAGTAGTAGTAGTAGTAGTAGTAGTAGTAGTAGTAGTAGTCGTAGTAGTAGTAGTAGTAGTAGTAGTAGTAGTAATAGTAGTAGTAGTAGTAGTAGTAGTAGTAGTAGTAGCAGCAGTAGTAGTAGTAGCAGTAGCAGTAGCAGCCGCAGTAGCAGTAGCAGTAGTAGTAGCAGTAGCAGTAGCAGTAGTAGTCGTAGTAAAAGTAGTGGTGGAGGTCGAGGAGAGTGCAGCCCTGGGCCCGCTGGGCGGCACCCAGGCGGGGGGCAGGCCGCCTCTCCTCTTGCTCCTCGCTCCCCGCGGCCTCCAGCGGAAGGCGGCGGCGGCCACGATGACGACCACGGCCACAGCCGCGGCCACGACCACGACCACAACGGCGACCACGTCCACATCCACGACCACGTCCACGACCACGGCCACGGCCACGATGACGACGACCACGTCCACAACCACGACAACGGCCACAACCACGGCCACGGCCAAGACCACCACGGCGACGACACGAGGGCGACGACCACCACGGCCGCGGCCGCGGCCGCGACGGCGACGACGAGCACGGCGGCAGCGGCGGTCCGTGATCGCTGGGCAGGGGTCGGGCGGGCGGAAGGGGCCAGGGCCACGGCCACGGCTCGCGGCGGCCAGGAGGGGCTCCCCGCCTGAGCAGCGGAGCGAGAAGCGCCGCCAATGCGGCCGCTCCGTGTGCCCTCGCCGCGCACGCCCTCCCGGCGCTCCTGCGCCGACCTGCATGGCCTGATCGGGCCCCGTCTTTGTCTCTGCTCTCGTCTCTTGCTCTTTCGCTTCGTGCCTGTACGAGCTTCCGGTGCAGCCCACCGCTCGCTTTGACCGGCGCCTGACCGTCTCGCACACCTTGGCGCCCGCGGACCCCAAAAAATGCCCTCGTCGCCCCCCCATCCAGACAGGGCGAGGAGGACCACGAGACCCTTGGGGGTCCCAAGACGTCTCAAAGAGCGAGACGGCCTAGCCGAGAACGTTCTGGGGGTGCCCGGATGGTCCCGAACTGGCGCAGGAGACTCGAGCTACGGACCGAAAGCCGAAGGGGGCGCCCTGAGATCTAGGCGTTGCAGCTTTTCCGCCTCGGGCGTTCTCGCCCCGCTTCGGGCCCCAGAGCCATGACAGATCGATCCAGCACAACCGAACATGGCGCAGAAGGCGATGGGGTCTAGGGCTCTGGTCGTGGTTCTTCTCGATGCATTTTTTGTTCGCACCGTTGGGTTTCAGGGAAAACGAGGCGAGGACCGTGACGAAATCGGACCGGAACAAATCGGGGATCTCTAAGATCTGGCGGCTCTGGAGCATGTATTGGGCGCCGCGGCCGTTCCAGAGCAATCCGGAATGCTCTGAGAGCGTGCCGGGACGCTGTGGAGCGAGTTATCCCCAGACATGCGACGTCCCGACTTTTTCAACACGGGATCCCTGGAGTCCCGAACTCATCCCCAGGGCGAATCGTTTCCCCCCGAGTCGCTTTCTGACGGACCCAGGGGCCGGCGAGGGGCCGAAAGTTGTCCAGACCTCCTCGTGGGCAGAAATTTGTCCAGACCTCCTCGTCGTGACTCTTTCAAGCACGCGAACGGCGCGAGCAGGCCAGGGTCCCCGCCCTGGGCCTGCCTGGGACCGCCCAGGGACTGCGCCGGAGCTGGGGGCCGCTCGGGACGGGCCCCGCCGCGGCGCCGAGGTGCTGTCGGATGGCCCTCGGGGGTTGCTTTCCATCCCCCGTCCCGCGTCGCCCCCGCTTGGTCACGTCACGGTTGATGCCGCCGCCAGTGTGGGAATGAGCCCTCTCGATGCATTTCCAAACGGCGCGGGTGTGAATCCCCTTCTCTCCCTCCCTCCGCTTACGTCCGTCATCGCCCGGGAACAAGGCGCTCTCCATATTTCTAGGCCTGGAAGGGCATCCAAAGTGTTCAGAAAAGCCCCAGGACGGCACAAGACCGACCCAAGATGTTCCCAAGACGACCCAAGACGTTCTGAAGAGGGGGGCTCAAGACGGCCCAAGAGGCTGCCAGGACGGCCACAGATGTCCCCGAGAGGGACCCCTGACCACCCAAGAAGCCTCCCAGATGGGCCCCAAGGCGCCTTCAGAGAACCACAATTGTCATTTCAAAACCCTTTCCCATCTCTCTCCCTCTCTCTATATATCTTACCCTTCATTTCCGTCCTGCCCCTGCTTGTTTTCCTTCTCGTCATCATTTCTCTTCATGTGCTCCTTCTCGTTCTCATCAGTCAGCGCTTCCCGGGGTCAGCCGCGGTCTCAAACAAATGAAATTTTTAGGGGTTGGCGATTGCAGCGTCAGCCTGATGGACCGATGAGGGCATCTGGAGTCCGAGGGCCTCTGTAGCTGACATACTCCTTTCCCGTCTTCGATCCGCGGCTGTACATCCGCACGTCTGGGAAGCTGTGTACCTTCTGCTCCCGGCAGGTGTCCTCGAAATCGACGCAATTGATCTTCAGGACCCTGACGTTGGTCACCGAACCATCTGCATCCTTGGCTTCATCGACGTGCTCATTCACGCGATACTCGAAATTCCCCCAGATGGGGCCGAATTGTCGGCAATGAGGGCACCAATCTGCATAGAAGTTGACCATGGTGAAGTCATGAGCATCAACGACGGCTTGAAAGCTGTCGTGCTTGAAATTATCACTGGATGACCCCCAATCTGAATCAAGCTCAGAAAGCTCCTCCTTCGTAAAACTCTTGTCTGAAAACTCCAACTCCACGATCTCATCATCAGTGTATGCACGCCCAACTGCGCCTTTATGATCAACGCGCTGCTTCTGAATGTTACGGGACACGTTCATGCGCTCGGTTCCAAACGCATCCCAGATGCCTACGGTGAGAAAGTCGCAAGATAAATCCAACATGTGCACGTCGAAATTGATTCGTAACACTGAATCTTGGTTGCTGTCGATGACTATATGCGTAGTTGGTTTAGCCGACAAGAACGCCGAGGCCTCACAGAAGAACAAGATCGAGCAAGTCAAACACGCAGCCATGGTCATCGCGGCCCCTGTAACTGTAGCTTCGGCTAGGTCTTTTGGCACGGTGCGAAACGCATCGTATGGTGCAAACCATGCATTCTGCGAAGCCTGCGGGAGCATGCTTGAAGCAACGGCGGGAGGTGTGTAATTAGCGAGGTCGCCTGCCCAATCCACTGGAGGTCGGCAGCAGGGAATTCCCGAGCTAAGACACAATCTTGGAAAATATACTGTGCCAACATGGCTACGGATGATGAGACTTTTCACAGTAGGTAAAAACAACTATTGAGAAAAAGGGGGAGCGACAAGTCAGAGAGAGAGAGAGAGACACAGAGAGACAGAGAGAGAGAGAGATAGAGAGAGAGAGATAGAGAAAGCAACATATATATAGAGAGATAAACAAACAGAGAGAGAGAGAGAGAAACAAAGAGAGACCACAACACAATCCAATACACAGCACGAGGAGCAAGGAAGGGCCCGAGGAGGAAACGAACGCGGTGGAGGATAAGGAGGAGAGAAAGGGGAGGAGAAAATAGGAAGGAAAAGGATGACGATGAGGAAGAGGAGGAGCAGGAGGACTAGTAGGAGGCGAATGAGGAGGGAGAGGAAAAGGAGGAGGACGACGAGGAGGAGGAACGTGAAAACGAAGCAGCGGAGGAGGAGGAGACGGAGGAAGAGGAGTAGGGGAATAGGAAGAGACGGATGAGGAGAGAGGGGGAGGAGGAGGAGGAGGAGGAGGAGGAGGAGGAGGAGGAGGAGGAGGAGGAGGAGGAGGAGGAGGCAGACGGAGGAGGATGAAGAGGCGCTCGTGCCCTCAGGAAGGTTCGTTTCTGTGGCGACTACACTCGGTGCGTGTGTGGTGTGCCTCGCACCGAAAGCGATGAAGTTGACCTTCGGTCGTGCACACTACAACGGGTGCCTGGCGGAACAGAGCGCACTGTGATCAATGATCAACCTGTGCACTGGGCTCACCCCGCCCACAGGCGAACAAATCCCGGCAGTAGTCGTACACATGAAAGAGCAGCACGAAACGATGAATCGTGTCACCTGTGAGCTCCTCGGGCAAAATGTCCAAACGGTCAGTGAGGTTTGCAGCGAACAGCGGGTCAATCTCCACACAACGAAACCATGTTCCACAGCGGGCCGCAGTGAATGTTTGTGCATGTAGTGAAGCTGGTTGTCCATCTGGCGCGGGCATCCGAAAAACCAAGGGCGGGTCTCGATCGGTAGGCGGTGCGATATGACCCGCCCCCCGATATGCGTTTTGATTACCGCACTCTGGATTGCGCAGCTGTACTTGGCGAAGCGGTCTTCAAGCAGCCTCAGGCACGACCAAATTCGATCAGATCGAGCTCGGCCTTCGGCACCCACTCGGCCATGCGAGCCCGAATGATACATGCAACAGCGTCTGGAAAAAAAACAGCTTGCACATATGCAGAGGCCTCGCGTTTTGCCTCCGCCAAGTCCAGCACCGCCTGCGACACCTTGCCGAAGACGTGTTGTTGTCCAGGGAAGCCCGTCGCAACCTCCTCGAGGTGGCACACGATGGCGCCTGTCTTCCAGAACTTGGGCGAGCCGCCCCCCGCGCTGGACGGGAGAACAGCGCGCCCGCCATGCTCCGCCGCCATCGTCCCCAGATGCTCCAGCCAACCGCTCCATTCCTTGATCGCGTCGGCAGATGTCGGCAGTCATCCTCAGCGCCGCGGCCAATCCAAGCACATCAAAAGATGGGATCTTGATCAGGGGCCGCTCCGCGAAGCCGACGCGCATTGCCCTGGCCCCGCAATGTGCGGGTGCGCGCATGATTTTGCGGATCGCCCGTTGCTCAATGTCGCGGGAAACTTTGGATTCAGGCAGCGTGAATTGCGCGACGCGCCCCATGGCTGGCAGCGCAGAGGCGCGGTGCATTGCCGCGGTCGTCGACGCAGGTGCACCCGCGAGCAGTACTTCTGCCAGTTCCACCGCCGTCCTTTTGTACTTCGCGAGCTGCGGCGCCCGCGAGTCCACGTCTGCCACGGGCCCGGTCATCGCCCCGAGGTGCATTGTGAATGCCAGCGACCCGAAGTCGCCCCAAGGTTCGATGTCCCGCGAGGCCTGCTGGAACTCGGTCTGGTCGATTGCGCGTAGCAGGGGCCAGCGCGCACTTCGTAGAGATGGGCGCGAGTCCGCAGAGGAGCTCCGCTGGCCTGAAGATGGCCCTGACTTTGTCGAGCAGGTCCAAGGGCCGAATCACTGCTCCAATGTTGCCTGCACATGCTGTGGGTCAAGAACGAGGATGAGCCTGGAACGTCGTCGCGAACCACTCGGGTACCGGATTGGATGCGACGCACCAGACCGCGCCGCTCAGCGGGCAGCCGTGCAATTCTAGCTGCGGCCGTGAACGCGCAGTGGAAGTCGATCTTGGGGCGCGCGTAAATGGCCGCGCTGTCGCATCAGGCCCGCGCGACGCCCAGTTGGCCGCCCCCCAGTCCACCAGCGCGCGCATGCGCCCACAACCGCTTCTGGTTCAGCGAAGGGGGGGCCGCCACGAAATCTGAAGCGATGGGCGCGGCCTAGTTACACTTGTCCGCGCCGCCCAGCCCAGGGTGCCCGCCGTCGAATCGATCCGAGCGGCGTTCGCCGCGAGCTGCCGTCCTCTGAAGAATCCCCGTTTGCGCCTGCTGCGCTGCAACCGCCGACTACTTACGCAGTGCTCTGTCGCAGCTCGCTGCGGGTGCTTTTGAATCGGTGTTCTTCAGCTGCAGAGGTCGCACTGGCTCGGCCGCCCGCTTGATGAGCGCGCCATCTGAAGGGCCGTCGCCCTTGGAGATCGGCGCCGAGATCGATGCGTTGAACTCCGCGGGCGGCGGGGGCACGCAGAGCAGCTCGTTCAGCGCGCCCGCAAGTGCGTCGATGCCCTTCGCGCGCCGCCGCGCGCGGCGCGGTGGTCCATCTGGCCCCCGGCGCCGCGCGCTTGCCCCTTCCCCTGCATTCTTCGCGCGGGCGCGGCGCAGTCACCCGCGCCGAGGTCTTTCGCACCCACCTCGAGGAAGTGGTCGCCAGACCTTTCCCGCGCGGGCTTCGCCGCGCAGGCGTCGCCCCGGCGTTCCTCGATCCTCTCCAGGACGTCGCCAGGGTCGTAGATGCCCGCCCTGATTTGCGCGCGATGGCCCGAAATGTCATCTTTCGCTTCCCGCTGCTTGGCGCGCTGCGTCTCCGCCTTCCGTGCCCAGTGAAGGTCCGCAGTTCGGATCTCTTCTGCGCTGTCGACGCTCCTCTGCGTCGCCATTCGTCGCGCTGGATCGCGGCCTCGTTGCGCCGCGGCGACGGCGCGTCTGGAGGCCGCCGCGCCCAGGAGCTCCGCTCGCCCCCCGCGAACCTGAAGTTGTTGTCGCGCAAGCTCCTGGCTGCGAATTAGCGCGGTGGCCAGCTTGGCGCCATTGCGCCAGATGGTTCTTGCCATCGGGCGGCATGTGGCGAGGCAGCTGCTAGTATTCGGCGTCTTCTGCTTCGACGGCGCGTCGCGGGCGGCCCGCGACGCCGCCTTCGCCGGGCCCCTGCGCTTGCCCGGGCGAGCGCGCGCAAGCGGCGCGCCCAGTTCGAGGCGCCGTCGGAGAGCCGCTGGGCGGCTTCTCGAAGGGCTGGCGGCGGAAGATGAACTCGGGCATTCGCTCCTCCTCTCGGGGATGCGCGCGCCCTGCCGCGACGCCGGCGCGAACTGGGGCGCGGTCAGAGACGCCCGTGGCGAGTAGCTCGGTCGGGTCGGCCACGCCGCGAGAGCCCCATCTCATTGTTGCGCCATCCGCGAAGGCGCCGACGCAAAAAAGCGGTCGGTGCGCGATGGGATCGGCCCAGCAAGTCCAGATGCCACGCAGCGCGTCAGCCCGTAGCCGCGGGCCTCCAGGAGCGGGGAGAGGGTCCTTCCCCATCGCCCCATCGCCGCGCTGCCGCGCCAGAGCGGGCGAAGTCGTTCCGCCTGCGGGGGGCGGAGGTGCAGCGTGGGCCGCGGGCCTGTCCAAGAAATTGCGGTCGCCCAAGATCGCCGTCGTCGCGTGCTCGAGAGCGCGCGGGCACCCCGCAGTCGCATCTCATACGGTTGCCGACCGCGCCCGCGCCCAGGTTCGCGAGCTTGAAATGTGGGCGCAGTGCGCCGCGAGGCCGGCGCGCCCCGAAACGGGCCTCGTCATCCCTGGGTGGCGCGCAAGGGCGACCCAGATGACCAGGCAACTGGCGCCTCTTCATGCCTCTTCCATGCATGTCTTGACGCGGTTGCCCATATCTGGCACGGGGATTGCCGCCCTCCAGCGCTTCTGGATGGGATCGAACAGAGCATGTCGCGCGTGGGCGAGGCGCGCGCGCGGCGCGGTGCCTGGCGAACTTTTGGTCCGATCCACTCACTTCCTGACATCCTCATAGAGTCGGCCTCTGGCGCATCATCTTCGCGGGGCATTTAATAGTTGTCGCGTCTGGGAGGATCGCGACGTAGCATGTCGCGACAGCTCCATGGAACGTAGTGCGCTTGTGCGTGAACTGTCTCTCCGCCGCCCACTGCAACGGCGTGCCGTTCTTCCCCGGGCCAAGGAAGTCTCGCGAACTGCCAGAGCGCGACGGCGGTGTTAAAGACGCCGTTCCGCACCCTGGCCTGCGGGATTGGCCACGTTGAACCGCGCGTTGCGAGCTCTACCGCTGCCGCGCGGTTCCAGAAGAGAGATGGCGCCTCATCGGGCCGCGGTCCAACTTCCACTCGAGCAGAGTGTGCGCCGCGGAGCAAGACTGGCCTTCTGCATCTGTCCATGCGCCATCTATCGCGTGAGAAGGCGTTCTTGATGCGCGAGTGCAACTTCTTGGCGATGACCCCTGTTCCGCTGCTCTGGGGCTGCGGCCCAGCGCGACGTAGATGGGCTGGGCGGCTCCGTCGGCCGCCGCGGCCGCGGTGAATCGCCGCCGCCGACGGCCAGTTTGCCAGGGCTCGGTGAAAAGCCCCTCGTGCCTTTGCTGCTGCTGCTTCGCGCCCGAGGAATTGCAGGCGGCCTCTCGCGCGCGGGCCGTCGCCCGCGGACTCGCAAGCCGAGCTGCAGAATGAAAGAATGAAAAAGCCACCCCCGCCCCTCGCGCGAAGAATTCTCAACCGACTAGACGGTCGAATGACGCGCGACATGCAAGCGGAAATTGGTCGACGGTCAGCGAGCAACGATGCCGCGCATTTCCACGCGAACGGCGCGCTGCCGCCGTGCCCATCGGCGCTTGAACACGGCGTCGGCCTGTGCCAGCACGCGGCCAATGCCCGGTGTCACCGCGGATGCCCGCGCGCCCGTGCCGGGGCAAAACGGCGCCCGGGGCCCGCCCGCGCGGGCGCGCGACGGGAAGTTTAGATTCGCCCCAACAAGCAAAGCGCGGCGCCCGGCGAAACAATTAACACGGGCAAACTCACTCTGAAACGATCTAAGCTCCCCCGCGGCGGGAAGTCTCTCGCGGGAGGGGGGGGGGGGGGGGGGGCGACGAGCTTGCGCCGACAGAACTGCTTGTTTGCGCGGGCGCAGAATTTTCATATTGGACCAGTTGCCTCGAAAGAAACGCCCCGATCTAAACTTTGCCGTCGGCGGGGCTGCGCGGGGGCGCGAGAGGCGGGCGGGCGCCCCTGGCTGGGCCAGCGGCGCTTCCGCGCGAGGGACAGCGCCGCCGCCGCCTCAGACTGCGCGCCGCGGCCACGGCGCGCGCCGGCATAGCCGCGAAGGGGAGCGGCGCGCGCGAGGGCGACGACCGCCCCGCCGCCGCGGGCCTCGCAGGCGAGGTCTGCTACCAGTTCAGGTCGGCAGGCCTCGCTCGGACTTGCTGGGCGGGCGGCGCGGAAACCGTCGCAGCTCCAGCCCAAGCCGCGCGCGGGGGCATCGCGGGCGAGGGCTTCGACCGCCTCGCCGCCGCGGGCCTCGCCAGCGAGGGCCGCGCCCCAGCCCGGGGCGCAGGCGTCGCTCGGACTTGCTGGGGGGGGGGGGGGGGGGCGAGCTGGCAAGGGCCGCAGCTCCTCCCCAGGCCGCCCTGAGGTGCATGATGTGCGAGTGCATCGACCACCCCAATGCCTTGCGCCTCGCAGTCTGTTGGCTCGCAACCACGGGCCTCTTCGTCCGACCCGCGGAGCGGCATCGTCGTCTCAGCGGGCCGTGGCGCCTCCGGCGCCTCCCTGAGCCTCCTTGCGCCGCCTCTTGACCTCAGTCCACGTTGGTGCCCCGGCGCAGCGCCTATCGCGGAGGTCTGCGTCATCGTCAGTGCCGCCAGCCAGCTGGCCGGGCCCGGCCGCCTCCGGGCACTCCTTGAGCTCCTCTCTGGCCGCGTTTGCCAGCTCTTCCTCATCGAAGAGCTCGTCCGTTGCCGCGGGCGTCGCTGCAGTGCCTTGACTGCCTGCCGCCTCGCCCGCGACCGTGGGCTCGGGCTGCTGCTCTGCCGCCGCGGCGTGTTCGGCTTGGCGGACCTCTTCCACCGCGTCGCAGAACTTGTCCTACAATTGCGTTGGCAACCCCATGCTCTGTGGCACCTCCAGCATGCTGGTGAGCGCCCAACGCCCACTGCCGCCGTCAGCAGCCCCAGGAGGCCGTTCCAAAGGGGCGGGAAGGGCGCTGCATATCTGCGCGCACTCAGCCGCGACGGCCGCCAGCTGCGCTCGCGCCTCCTCGGTTGCAGATTCGCCCTCCGCTGCCTCTTGCTGGGGCTTCGCAAGTGTCTTCTTCTTCTCATCCACGGTTCGCTGCCAACGCACCTGCTGACTCTCGAGCTGGGCCATGCGTTTGGACAGCGCATTGAGCTTGATTGGGGCGGGCTTGGCCTCGAAGAGCCAACCTCTAAGCCTGTCTCGTTCTTGTGCTGGGCCGCCAGCTCGCCCGCGGCCTCGGGCATCGGCTCGGTCTTACCCAGGTGCTCGATGTGGCCCTCCAACACTGCAATGCGCGCCTTGGTGCTGGTGGCCAGTTCGGCCGGCCTCCATGTCCACCTCGGCGTCCGCTGCCAACGTCTTCGCTCTGGCGTCCTTGAGCTCCCGCTGGAGCTGCTCCACCTGCTCGTGCATGGTTTGCAACTGCTGCTCCACGGGCGCGGTGCCACTCCCAGGCTTGCGCTGGGCGCGAATGGCGGGATTCGCCAGCTTGCGCTGAGCGCGAATAGCGAGATCCACCGAAGGACGCTCGAACTTGCACATGCAGGCCGTTGGCTTGGCGATGCCACGTGCGTGGCAACCCAACTTATCTGGGACATTGACGAACGGCTTCCAATTCCGTCCTGTGCACCACTTGCAGCACCAATGGGTGCCCTGCTGGTCTCTTCTGGCCCCTGGCGCCAT